TAAATATGTGCAGTTTTTTATATCAGTTCTACCTGAGTAACGTCGTTTCTAAAAGAGAATAAAGTTGAATTAAAAAGTAACGTTAGACTTTCATGACTTTGACACTTTTGATGACTGCAGCCAGTTATTTTGTAATGTATCACACAATTTGGGTTTGTCTGATGTTTAATGATTAGATTCAAGTTATACCTCTTTGGTAGAAATATCCTGGAAGTATTATACTTTCATTACATTTTATCACATAATACATGATTTTGATTTTTCCCATTACTGGTGATGTTAACTTTGATCACTTGATTAAGATACTATCTGCATATTTCTCCACTGTAATTAATGTTTTGAAATGAAACACTTTTGTATGAGTATATGCCATTCATCCACTGAAATGGACGTTTCACTTAGCAACAGGAAGTTTTCACATTCGTTAATATTTCTTGAATGAATTACTTTATTACTGTGATGGCTGCCAAATGATTTTATAATTCCATCATTACATTTTTAGTTAGCATTTTGTTATAAGGAAATGCTCTTATCTTCATTTGTTTATTCGTGTATTTATTTATATCAGTATGGGGTCCCAGATTCCAGTTTTATTCAGTGGATTTTATGCCATTGTTATAATTGAGTCACAGATAGTTCCCAGTCTGACCAATGGCAGCCCTTCAAGCCAACTTCTTTGTCATTTGTCATCCTCTTTGGGCACTTCCCTTATTTTCTGGCACAGCAGGATGTCTACACTCATATTGTACTTGCTGAGCTCTAGCACTGGAATCAGTCATTTCTTCAAAGACCCATGGTTTGGTTTGCTTTTGTTTTGTTTTGTGGTTTTTGTTTCCCCCTGGGAAGGACTTTCACTCTTATTGGCCAGGCTGGAGTGCAGTGGCGTGATCTTGGCTCACTGCAACCTCCACCTCCTGGGTTCAAAGCAATTCTCTTGGCTCAGCCTCCCAAGTAGCTGAGATTACAGGTGCCCGCCACCACGCCTAGCTAATTTTTGGTATTTTTAGTGGATACGGAGTTTCATCATGTTGGCCAGGCTCCTGAGACCTGTTGGTCTCAAACTCCTGACCTCAGGTGATCTGCCCATCTCTACCTCCCAAAGTGCTGGGATTACAGGCATGAGCCTCCACGCCCGGCCGTGTTGTGTTGTTTTAAATTGCAGACTGAGTATTTAGAAATCAAGATTGAATGCCAGGTGTATTGGTGCTGTGGCGCTGTTAACTGCTCCCAGGTCCTCATAGTTAGCAGAGTTATGCACATATACACACACACATTTATGTCTATATTTATTTTTGTATTTATCTATATATATTGAAAACTGCTTACACTAATACCTCCAATTTTAGTGTAACACCATAAGTCTCATGCTAATTTTCTGTCTTTCCATATTTATAACTCCCTTTTCTGACACGAGGAACCTTGCTATCAATATCCTTCATGTATTTATTTATTGGATCAGAATGCCCTGTATATAAGCAATCTCCTGTCACTATTGCTGCCCTAGATGGATGCCCTTCTCCCTCTGCTCAGGCTCCAAAAGATCCCATTTAGGCCACTGACAGCACAAAACCTTATGCCAGACCACAACTACTGCCTCATAGATACTGTCTGTCTCACTCGGGTTCCAACCATACACGTCAGGCTGCCACCACTGTTCTGTCCATGTGGACAACCTCCTTGCCATGCTTAGGCTCCAACACCCTTTGCCAGGCTATTGCCTCCCTTCCACTCCCTGCGCACAGATGCTTTCCTCACCCTGCTTGGGCTTCAGCAACATGCACTTTCCTTTCAAGAGGTCATCTACACCAAGGTCAAGATGATACTCTACTGTATCATCCTCTAGAAGTCTTATATTGTTTACTTCTCTCAATTATGTCAGCAAACTAGCTAAAATCAATTTTATGTATAGTTTAAGGGTAGGAATCAGTATATGTTTGGTTTTTCCTTGTGTATATCCACTGGATCCAAGCATAGTTCTTACAAAATCACCACACTTTTCTTATACATTCATAAATCAGAAGTCAGAACCTATGGGTTTTCAAACATTCTTGGAAGGTCATGTAAGTATTGCAGTGAATATCAGTTACTATTGTTATTAATTTTGAGCTCATAATATGGAATTCAGAATTTTTTTGTAGGGTTTTGCCATGTTGGCCAGGCTGGTCTTGAACTCCTGTCCTCAGGTGATCTGCCTGCTGCATCCTCCCAAAGCTCTAGGATTACAGGTATGAGCCACCATGCCTGGCCTCAATCTCACATAGTTTCCATTTTTTACTTTTTTACTTAACCATTCTGACACCTTTGGGTATTTAAAATATTCCACAATTGAACAAATAGAAAATGTTCAAAAGAATATCTTAAAACCTTAAAACAACTTATGAGAATACCTTAAAACCTTGACTTTTAAAATTTTTGCTTAGAATAGAGTTCTAGAATTACTAAGTCAAAGAGTTTAGACTTTTTTTTTTCTTTTTTTTTTTTAGTAGAGATGGAGTTTTACCATGTTGGCCAAGCTGGTCTTGAACTCCTGACCTCGTGATCCGCCCACCCCGGCCTCCCAAGGTGCTGGGGTTACAGGCGTGAGCCACTGCACCCAGCCAAGTTTAAACATTTTTAAAGCTCTAGATATTTACTGACAAATTAGTTTTCCTAAAGTTTGCATTAATTTGTATATCCAATAGCAGTGTGAGAGGACCAGTTTTCATGCATTTTTAAAAGCTTTTTTGGAATATTTTTATTGTATTTTTTTATTGGTAAAATATGTATAACAAAACTTACTAGCCTTTTAAGTGGAATCATGCAATATTTATCCTTTTGTGTCTGGCTAATTTCACTTAATGTTTTAAAGGCTCATCCATCTTCTAGCATGATTAAGAATTTTATTCCTAGGGCCAGGTGTGGTGGCTCATGCCTGTAATCTCAGCACTTTGGGAGGCCAAGGTGGGTGGATGACAAGGTCAGGAGTTCAAGACGAGCCTGGCTAAGATGGTAAAACGCCATGTCTACTAAAAATACAAAAAAAAAATAGCAGGGCATGGTGGCAGGTGCCTGTAATCCCAGCTACTTGGGAGGCTGAGGCAGAGAATTGCTTGAACCCGGGAGGTGGATGTTACAGTGAGCTGAGATTGCACCACTGCACTCCAGCCTGGGCAACAGAGTGAGACTCTGTCTCAAAAAAAAAAAAAAAGATTCCTTTCTAGGGCTGAATAATATCCATCATGTGTATATTACCACATTTTGTTTATCCATTCATCTCCTGATGGACACTTGGTTTCTTTCCACCTTTAGACTGTTGTGTATGATGCTGCACTGAACATTGGCATACAAGTGTCTGAGTCCTTGCTCTCAGTTTTGGGGGTGTGCCTTCCCAGTGCATATTTACCTACCCAATTGCTAGATCATATGCCGATTCTATGGTTGGTTTTTAAGAAACTGCCAAAGTTTTCCACAGAAGCTGGACCGTTTTACGTTTCCCACCAGCATTTTACCAGAGTTCCAGTTTCTCCACATCCTTGCCACTACTTGTTACTTTGATATTTTTTGTTTTGTTTTAGTTAGAAACTTCCCTTGTAGTGGTGAAGTAATCTCTCATTATAGCTTTTATTTGTATTACCCTATTGACTAATGATGTTGAGCATCTTTTCACGTGCTGATTGGCCACTTGTATATCTTTGCAGAAATTATTCAAGCTCTTTGCACATTTCGTTAATTGGGTTGTTTTTCTTTGTGTTGTTGAGTTGTAAGAGTCTTTAAATGTTCTGGATATTAAACCCTTATCAGATTATGATTTCCAACTGTTTTCTCTCATTGTGTAGGCTGTCTTTTCACTTTCTTGGTAATGCCCTTTGGTGCACGAAAGGTTTTAATTCTGATAGAGTCTAATGGTTTTTTTATTTATTTATTTATTTATTTTGGTCACAGTATTTCTAAGACTCCATTACCAAATCCAAGGTCACAAAGATTAACCCTATGTTCTCTCATAAGAGTTTTATGTTTTCAAATCTCATATTTAGGTTGTTAATCTATTTTGAGTTAATTTTTATATATAATGTGAGATGGGGGTCTGTAGACCTTCGTCTTTTGCATGTGGATATCTCAGCACCATTGTTGAAGAGACACCATACATTTTTAATAAATCTTAATTTTACTAATTCGATAGGCAAAAATTTGCCATTTTATTTTGTATTTATGAATGAAGATAAACCTTGCTTTTAGTCTGACAATTTGTTCTTCCTGTTTTAAGGCCTGTGAAGGCAAGCTGTCCTCATCTACTTGACTTTAGTGTTTTCCTTACATATATAAGGTGTTTTATTTATATAGCCAATGGGTCTTATTACAAAACTACTGTCCTGTGTTCCAGTTTCATCCTTTGAAAAATAACTTAAGCCAGATAAACATTAAACTTCTTAGTTTAATTTATACCAGGGTTCTCTCTACATTGTTTTTTCATTGTTGCCGGATATGTCTGGCATATATTAGACTATCAGTGTTAGTTGAATTAATTACGGGCATGTTGAGGCAGGTTATTATGGTTCTTGATAATAGAAGTTAGTATCATGGATTTGTAAACTCTCTTGTCTGCCTGATTGGGCTAATAAAATTACTTTTAGTTTTCTGAATGCATAGAGGAAAGCAGTCAAATGTATTCTGAGTACTAGAAAAAATATTTTGTAGTCTGTCTATGAAGCAATTGTCTTATTTCCCAGAGAGAAGGAAGGAATATTGTAAGTGATAATGTTTATTATTATCATTTAAGCATCTAAAGAGTAGTCACTTATTTTAATTACAGAATCATTAAAATTATTGGGGGTATAACTGTTTCTAAAACAATTTCTAAAGGGTATTTTCTCATTATTTATATTAGTGTAATGTATTAATATTTTACCTGTTGCATAATTATTTCTGAAAACTGTAATTTATCTTTATGGCACAGCTTTTTGTTATGTGTTTCCCTTTTATTTTGGTGTTTTTCCTGATTTTTTGTCATTGATGATTTTTAGCCAACAGAAGCTGTTCTTCCCTCTCCTCCCACTGTCCCTGTGATCCCTGTCCTGCCAGCCCCTGCTGAGAATACTGTCATCCTACCCACCATACCACAGGTTGTTATTAGTTTCTTTTTTCTTTATAAACATTTCATTTGCTTTTAATGTTTCATTTGTGTTCTTTTTTAAAACTGAGCTGTGTTTTGTAATTTGGTAATTTACTTTGGGCTTCAATTAGTAGTTTTAGGGACTTAAACATTTCAAATTTAATATAAATGGAGTCAAGATTTGCCATTTTATTAGGTTGTGTGTGAAATGGAACACATTGTGAACTTCATAATATTGAACCTTAGATTTGTTTTCATGCCTTTGTACTTATGAATCTGCTTAAAACAGTTTTTAAACATTTTTACTTTAGAAAACTTTATTCTTCTAAAGTTAGTAAAAATCATTGTACTCCTGATTTTGTACCACATGTATCATTTTATTTAGCACATTATTTCCTATTATATATTTATCTTTGGAAATACTCGTTCTCATGTTATTTGATTAGATAAGACACTTCACATTTATTAGGTAAAAATAATAGCCAACATATCTGGATTATTTGGGAATGCTCTGTGCTATCTTCACAACTGTTATGTAAATCTATTGTAAAATTTTACTTGTAAAAAATTATATGTAACAGTTTAAAAAAAAATAATAGCCAAATATGAGAGAATCTAATCATTTTTAGTTTTTCAAAGACTTACTGCTTCCAAGGGGTGATTCGAGACATTAACTGCCCTTCCAACAGTTATGCAAGGTCAAAATAATGGTAGTATTACTAAGAATAATAATAAAGATCTTTGGTGTGAAAGATCACGATCTCATTTAAAGTGTAAATAAATGAACCCATAGATTGTTTTTGTCAATTATTGATCTGTAGCATAAAATCTGGGTAAACATACTATGTTTGCTGTGTAAACAGTTTCAAAATCAGTTCCATTGGGGGAAAAAAGATATCAACTGTGATTATTCACATCTCAGTGCCCTTCCCCTCTCCTAAAAAGTGAAGTCAGTAAGAACATCCACACACCCGAGGATTCTAGGGGAAATTACAATGTTACATGACTTCAGCCTTACTGTAATAAGACTGAATTGTAATCATTGTAATAATATTAGTACTATATAATTTTTTATTATGAAAATAATTAAAAATTAACTCGTAAAACCAACAATGAATAGAGGAATCCAAATGGATATTCTCTCTATATTGCAGGAAAAGATTGAATTTATAAATAAAATATAATTCTGAGCAAGCAGTTTGAGGGTTATTATAACATCGTAATAATGTAACATCTTTCCAAATACACAGAGTTGATGAGTACAGTGTTTTGTTTTGTTTTGTTTTTTAAGTAGAATTGAAAGTTTATTTTACTCTTCTCACTTCAGTCAATTTTTTGGCATTAAAATAGTTTTCTGGAATCCTTTGAGAATTTGTACCAGTCTCTTTATATTCATTTGGGAGCCTGTCTTTTCCTATTCAGAATTCTCTCATTTATTTACTCCAGGCATCCCTAACTTAACATCACACTACATTTGAAAATTGTTGAGATCTTGCATAGTCTTATAAAAATACAGGTTTTGAAGTCAGAATGACCTGGGGTTGGAATTCCAGTCCTACCACTTAACCTATGTAACTACACACTTTACTTAACCACAGTGAACTTCCATTTACTCATCTGTAACACCGAAGATAGACAGGAGTACTAACTTGAGGTGTTTTACAGTGATTGAGAGGATACTTAATGCATGTCAAGTACTGCCACATAATCTTGGCTGTTCATATTTTTAGTATTATGTCATATTTCTCTGAGAAAGGAAACTAAGGAACAAGTTTTGTTTTGTTTTGTTTATTTGTTTGTTTAAATGAGGATATTTGAGGAGGATACACACAAAAAAGACCTATTTATTCTGCATAGCTTCACTTTAGGTTTTAAATATGCTACAGAAGTTCATGAAAGAGAGTTTTACCATTTTTGTTGTGTTATGTGAGAAGCCAATGAGTGGACCTCATTTTCCAGAATAAGTGTGTTCCTAATTAGTCAAGTACGTTATAAAATTAAAATAATGGACTGAAATGTCTGTCCCTAAGTAAAATTTAAAATCCATGCTAACATATAACCCAATTTCAACATATTAAGTAAATATGTATTCTTGAAAGATCCACTGCTTTACATTTAGATGCATTAGTATGTATTAGAAATAAAAGCAGAAGAGAAGATTTAAAGTCTAGTCCGTCTTTGTCACTCAAACAAGTTACCCTGTCTGAGTCTTCTCCTCCTTCATCTGTTAAAATGGGGGCAGCGCAACCAGACTCCTTTAAAATGGGTTTGAGAGCCAGGCAAATTAGAAAGATACATAGATAATAACTTTTTAAAAAGTATATAGTCTTTCATTGTAGAACACTTTTACACTTTTCAGAGTACTTGCATATTGATCATATTGTTTGTACTTTATGAAAGCCCTCTACAAATCAGAATTACAGTTATCATACAGAGTGGCACAGAAAGATAATATTCAATGGCTGCTTAATATTGCAGAAAGAGCATGAACTTTATAGTATAGTCATACCTGACTCCACCACTTCCTAGCTTCACCTGTTTCTACATGTGTGATGGTGTAGAAATTACTCAACTTCTGAGAACCTCAGTTTCTCCACATAGAAACTGAGTACAGAGTAGGTAACAGTTACTAGTTCTTCTTACTGGGAGTGTAAACACATAATCTCTGTGATTCTAGCCTATTAAATCCAGAGGCTTATTTGCACCCTAGAGTAAATACTCTGTTTTAAAACTAGATGTTTTAAACCTTTATTTCTATCAGTTCTGAAAAGTTATCATGTAATTAAAATATTGTTGAAAATGCTTTAGAGCTAATTTTTTGTGCATGGTCTTTTTTGATATTTGAATATGTGCTTTGAAGATGAATAGAACATTCTCTGTCCTCTAGGAGCCTACTAGGTGTTTGTGCAAGAGACAAGTTTAACAAATAGCTCCCACATAATGAGAGAGTAATTACATTAGAGGTATGTCCAGAACAGAGCATCATATTGCCTCTGGACCTTTTTTGTTTTTGAAACGGTGTTTCGCTCTTGTTGCCCAGGCTGGCGTGCAATGGCGCAATCTTGGCTCACCACAACCTCCACCTCCCTGGTTCAAGTGATTCTCCTGCCTCAGCCTCCCGAGTAGCTGGGATTACAGGCATGCGCCACCATGTCCCACTAATTTTTTTTTTTTTTTTTTTTTAGTAGAGACAAGGTTTCTCCATGTTGGTTAGGCTGGTCTTGAACTCCCGACCTCAGGTAATCCACCCGCCTCAGCCTCCCAAAGTGCTGGAATTACAGGTGTGCACCACCGCGCCCAGCTGGTTGTAGCATTTTAAATTTCCACCAAAGTGCACAAGGATTCCAGTTTCTCCACATCCTCACCAACACTTTTTATTTTGTTTTCTTAATAGTAGCCAGGCTAATGGGTGTGAGGTGACATCTCGTAGTTTTGATTTGCGTTTCTATAATGATTAGTGACACATCTTTTCATGTGCTTATTGTCCATTTGTATGTCTTTGAGAAAATGTCTGTATGAGTTCCTTGACCATTTTTTAATTAGGGTGTTTGGTATTATTGTTGGAGTTTAGGAGTTCTTTGTGCATTCTGGATCTCACGTCTTGTCAGAGATATGACTTACCTATTTTTTCTTTTTTTGCCTGTACCTTTGTGTCATATCCAAGAAATCACTGTCAGTTCCATTGTCTCACTTTTAGCCTGTATTTTCTTCTAACAGTTTTATAGTTTTAGGTTTTACATTTAGATCATGATCCGTTTTAGGTTGGTTATTGTATATGGCATTTATTTCTGGATTCTGCTTTATTCTCTTCTATATGTCTGTCTGCACACCAGTACCAGACTGTTTCTATTACTGTAACTTTGTAGTAAGTTTTGGAATCAGGAAGTGTTAGCCTGCCACCTTTGTTTTTCTTTTTCATTATCATTTTGACTTTCAGGGTACCGTGAAATTCTATGTGACTTTTAGGATGGGTTATTCTATTTCTTTAAAAACCCTACTGGAATTTTGATAGGAATTGCATTAAGTCTGTTGATTGCTTTGGGTAATATTGACATTTTTGCAATAATAAGTCTTCCAATCTGTAACCATAGATCCCTTCCCATTTATTTATGTCTTCTTAATTTCTTTCATAAATGTTTTATAGTTTTCATTTTGCAAGTTTTTTACCTTCTTGATGAAGTTAATTCCTTTTTTTTTTTTTTTTAAGCATTTAGGAGGCTCAGTGTTCTGAAAATTTGTACTTTTTGATGCTGTGATAAACAGAATTGTTTTCTTAATTTCCATTTTAGATTGTTCAATGTTAGAAGAAATACAACTGATTTTTGTGTATTGACTTCGTATCCTGCTACTTTGCTTAATTGGTTTAATTATTAACAGTTTTTGTGTAAAATCTTCAGGGTGTTTTACGTATAAGATCATATCATTTGTGAACAAGTAATTTTGCTTCTTCGTTTCTAATTGGGATGTCTTTTATTTCTTTTTCTTGCCTAATTGCTTTGACTACAACTTCAACTATTCAGCTAGTGGTCACGTTGAGTACAAGTGGTGAAAGCAGACATACTTGCCTTCTTTCTTATCTTAGAGGAAAAGCTTTCAGTCTTTCAGCACTGAGTATGATGTTCACTGTGGGGTTTTGTATATGGTTTTTCTTAGGTTGACATAGTTTCCTTCTATTCTCATGTGCACTTGAGAAGAATGTGTGTTCTGTTGTTAGAGTTCTGTGTCTCTTTGGTATATTGTGTTTGTTCATCTCCTCTATTTCCTTACTTATCATATGTCTGGTTGTTCTGCCCATTATGGAGAATGTGGTATTGAAGTCTCCAGCTATTATTGTAGAACCATTTCTTTCTTCAATTCTGTCTCATTTTTGCTACTTACATTTTGATGGTCTGCCATTAGGTGTGTTAATTTTCGTAATTGTTACATATTCCTATATTGAACCTTTTATTAATATATAATACCTTTGTTGTCTCATAACCTTTTTTTGGATTCAAAGTCTATTTTGTCTTT